GGGGGGGGGGGGGGGAGAGGGAGAAGAAAAAATAGCTGCGGGAAGAGAAAATAAGGGCGCCGCCACGACCCCTTTCACCCCCGTCATTAATTATCTTTATGGATGACGGTGGGAGGATAATGAGGGGGAGGCCATGTCCTCGTAATTTATGGGAATTGTTTTCGTATTCAATTAGAATTGGGCTGTGACCGTTGTGGCTATTGATTTTTGCATTGATTTGTTTTCATCGGAAATCGAGTTGATCGGGAGTTTTTTTCCGGGGGCAGGAGAGGGTGATGATGATTTTGGATAAACCAGGGGCAGCGGTTGTAAAAGATCGATCGACTGTGAAACCCCCGGGGGTTTTCCTGAAAATTTTCGTCAGCGGGGTGAGGGGGCGGGGGGGTTTAAAACGCGAACCTCGTGGAAATCAATAAGTGGCAATAGACTCGGAGGAAGCGAGTCGGGAGTTCCTGGTTTTGAGAGGAGTGTTGTGGGAGAATTTTCGATGATGATTAATGTGATAATGTGGTTTGGAGGGAGAGCGACAGCGTTGGATCACACTTGAAGCCCAAAGGTCGCGCGAGTGTCGGTTGAATTTGTCGATTGAAATGGGGAAATCACAGCTCTGATTTCCAGTAAAAATCATCGGCATTAAATCATCGAGTGAATAATGAATCAAACTTGATGTCATTGAATACAAACCCTGACGCTCCTGTGCACACACCAGAGTCAACGCCCGAGTGAAAAACAGTTCCAATTTGTCTCCATAAATGATCGAAACTTGGACAACAAACTGAATGGAAAAATTATCGGATAGCAAATGGGGAAGTTGAAGTGTTCTACTCTGCCCTCTCGTTTTCGCTCTCTCCCATTCACTCTCGCGGCGTTTTTTTTTACAAATTTTATTAATCCCCTTCTCGTTTTTTTTAACACCGGTGGGAGAGAAAAATGAATTAGTTTAGCGATCCGGTAAACGAAAGGTACGTCAAAGGAACGACTGGCCCTGTGCGAGGTATGTTGGAGTCTCTCCTGTTATCTGCGCGTGCCCCGAACAGTATTACACACTCCTATCTTCTCCTCACAAACTACCTCTCTTTTCCCCACACACGCGGACGAGGGACGGAGGGCGGCACAACTACACTTTGACGCGCGGCTTTTCCTCTCGTATCCTCTCTCAACCTGATGCGAATCCCGCGGCGCTGCACAGCTATATAAACCCCCCCTCCCCACCCGGAGCTCTTTTTATCTCTTTCTTTGCATCATCCTCACTCTCTCACAGCGCGAGCGTTCCTTTACCTCTCGTCGTCCCTCAATTCCTCTCTCCCTCTGTCCCTCTAGTCCACAACGGCTTATATTTCCTCAGGTGGGCCAACCAGCCGCCAGCATCGATGCAACTTTTTTTTCTCCTCTACTTTTTTCCACACCGAACTCTCTCCTCGCGCTAGCGCTACAACCGACGGACTCAAACTGACGAGAAAATGCTTCTTCGGCACACGCGGGCTATCGCCCTCCTCACGCATGCGCATTTTAATTTTATTTCACGTCAAGCACAGAAAGGGGGGGAGGAGGGGGGGGAGGAAAGGATGTTCCTCATGGCAAAATCCAGCATATGAGATTAGTATTAATTCCTGGGTATTTCGTGACAATTTTATTTTGCGATTTAGCACGAGAATTTTTTTTTTTTCTTCTGAGGGGGAGAGACCGGCGACGCCCGGGGAGGGGGAACGGGTTGGGGATGGGGATTCGGACTTTAGTACAGAGGCAGAGGTCCAGAGTTGGGTCCGTACGTGGACGTGCCGAAAGGTCGTGGCGATTGGCCGTACGCGTACGCGCCACTATCGATTTTCAAAGCGGCGTTTCTACACCGCCACCCGGCAAAACCGTCGACGGGGGCTTTTAGATATGGGGTACCCCTAGGTGGTTGAGGTGCTGGGTGGTTTTGGCGATGGTTTCGGGGACTTTTGGGGGAGAATGACGGCGGTTTTTGGGGGCGGGGAATTTTTGGGGTGGAAGTTTTTTTTTTACTTTTTGCTCCGGGGGAGAGGGAGTTGGGAACTTGCCATTTTTCTCGCCGGTTTTATGACTCGACCTTTCCCTCATCTTTTCAGAGGATATGGGCTACTGCCAGGTAATGTGACACGCCGGAGGGCTCAACGGGGAAATACATTTATCAGGGGAGTTAATGGGGGAAATTTGTCTATGAGGATTTTTATGGAGATGGGGGAGAACATTTCGGGGCTTTTGGGGCGGCTAGGGGGATTTTGATTTATTTTTCAAGGTTTTTTCACGTTATGGCTGGTGATTGCGAGATCATTCGGTCCTTTCTCGGGGGTTTTTCGATTTTTGGGGCAGAAGGGAAGCTCTGGAATCGGTTGAATTCAAGTTTTGGATTTGTTGGGGTGGATTGACTCAGTCTGATCCAATCGGGTTTCTTCAGTTGTTCGATAATGAATGGGTGGAGCTGAATATTTTTTTCGCCGTTAATTCAAATTTAAGTCATCGATCAGTTTTTTAATTTTAGAAGGTTTTCGGAAAGCGTTTGTCCCACGATATCAAAAGAAAATCAGTAGGGAAGCTGAGTTTTTGAGCAATATTTCCGAATCTAAGGGAGATAGCGAAATTTTCGTTATTACGTTTGTTGTAGCTCTCAATCGGCTCTACCAAATAGGTTATAACAAAAATTTTGCTATCTCCCTTAGATTTCGAGATATTCATTGAAAACTGGTCAATAGTCAAAATTGACTTGCGCCGTTTTACTACTTTGCTACTGAAATGTTCTGAATTAGTTGAATGACGGCTGGAAAATTTTTTTGGATGTGCTTTTGACAGAGTTCGAAGCCGAAGGCGATGGCGATAATCACTATTTTGATTTATTTGACGGTTTTTCAAAATGTGGTGTTTCAAATTCATTCACGGCTTTTCGTGATATTCTCCTGTATTTTTTTTCTTGCTCTTGACCCTTTTGATACTTCTGCTCTCGGTCTTTTGGCTCCTATGACCCCTTTAACCCCTTGCAATTAACCCATTCAATTTTATTTTTATTCAATTTTATTTTATTCATGGTAAAATAATTTATAATTTAAATTTTTCAATTGACTGGGGGTTAATTAATTGGAAATGTGGGATTGTAAATTGACTATTGGGCACATAATCGTCAATCCTCCGAAGTCAATTATTAATTCATAAAATAATTCGGAATTTGGATATTTAATTAATGATTAATTTAATAATTAAAGTTGATCCACACTATTAACTATTGACGTCTTCAAAATTGAACTTTATTTAAAATTTATGATTCTGCAGATGTCTGCTTCCCTCAACTCTATTTTCTCCACTCAATTTTAAACCTTTATTTTTAGCCGTTATCGCCTTTTCCGATCGCTTTTTCAATTTTTTCGTTGTTTTTTCAGTGATTTTTGAGGTTTTATTATTTTTCTTTTTTTTCGTTCCTCTTTTGACCCTTAAGAACATTATCTTTTCATTTTTTAGACTTCTGATCCCTTCGACCTCCTTCCATTAGTCTACTCAATTTTACTCCCAATTATTTCCCTCTATATCTGAATCGATTTCAAACTTTTTTTTTTTTTATGAGTCATGTTTCCTTTCCAACTTCAAATTCTTTATTTGATATCTTTCTATTTTTTTTCTAATATTTATAGACATCTCTTGGATTTTTCATTCAAATTCCGCCTGTTCCCTTTCCCTTCTATTTTTTGTCTTTCTCATTGAAAAGTTTTAATTGTTGGAAAAGAAGAGGAATAATGAGGGCCAATGAGGTTTTTCATCCTTTCATCTTCTTTTTTCCCCGAGTAATTTGTATTTTACAGCGTCAATTATCCTCGAAAACTAATTATCTCTGAATGATAAAAATTGCGACTCGTTCCGGCGGCACTTGTTCGGATTTTACTACTGCCAGTGAGTGGAGAGAGCATCTTCGAGTGAATATGCCCCGTTATTGGCCAGACTATTGCCCTTGTGCATCTCTCACGCTCCGATGGCCCAAGCACTTACTCATCAGAAGTGAAAACTCCCCTCCTCGCACCTCCCTCCACCACTTCATCTGAATAAACCATTCCGGTTCAACTGGATCGTGGGAGTGAATAGAAATACAATTTCAAGAGAGCTGGGACAAAATTGTGAGAATTATTTCACTCATATTGGGGTGAGAAATTTTTCAGTTGTGAAGGGCTGCGAGAGTCGAATTTTTTGTGGTCGCATTTTGGATTCATTGGAACTCCATTAATTTGAAAAATAATTTTTGATGAATGAAAATCTGAAAATGGCAGGAACAAAAGGACATGATTCTTCACTTTTTCCCTGAAATTTCCTGATTTTTCCGAATTTTCACAGAATAATTGAATTGGAAAATTTAATTTTTCAATTAAGAGAGTTCCAGAAACTCCAATGGAAATTAAACATGATAAAAATTTCCGGGAAGTAACATTCCCAGTGAAATTTCAAGGAATTTCGTCATTGAAAATTTATAATTTCATGGAAAAATTCGTGGGAACTGTAAATTTCAATTCAATAATTCCGGGAAAATTCGAGAAATTTCTTCTGGAATTCAAGAATCCTCTGAATTTTCAGGGGATTCCTTTCTGGAAAATTTCTGGAATTCCAAGAATTAGTCATGGTTCAAAAAATTAATAATAATACCCTCTTGTCGCACAATTTGTTGTTGAATTAGAGCACATTGTTAACTACATTCACATAGTAATTTTTAATTTTATATTCCCTCCGTGCGGCACTGGATTTTTCCCTAGCTGTCCCTTTGCGCCCTCTTTCCCGTACTAGCACTGGAATTTTTTTAGAGAATTTCTCTGTGGGTGTCAAAGCAAACGTATGATTCTCTGTACAATAAAATTTCCCACACCTGTACAGTATTTTTTTGGCAACGGTGCGAACGACACGGGAGCGGACCAAAGTGAAAATTTACTGTACACGGTCCGGGGAGGAAAATCGATAGGCGTTACACAAAAATTCGACATTGAGTAATTATTTACCTTCGCTAGCGTAATTGTTGATCAAATTCCGGATAAATTTTACCACTTCAAAACGAATCACCTGACAATCAGTATATTGTGTTGAGTAAGCGCAGAAAATCCACAGTTTGTCTCGTATGTTTTCCCTCAATATAAAATCAGCAGGACTTGGAAACGAAATTCGCAGGACGATTGCTGAACTTTTTCGGTTTTTTTCGCTCAGCTTTAATCCATTCTCGTAGGCTATTTGGGATTTTGCATAGGGGTTGTGAAAAAATCAAAGAATCTCTCTATATAATTAAAAAAATAAGGGCAAAAATGTCGGGAACGCTTCAGATTCAGGAGTCGCTGACAATTCAGGCGAGATTTCAGATTTAGGCGACGTTAAGGTAATAATGTTGGCCCAGGATCGGGCCAATGTCGCTGCATGGTCGGACCATACATCGGGACCCTCTCAAATACAGAGACTCCCTCATTTATAGGGAGCCCCCTCAAGGGATCAACCTCCACGGTCAAACCCGCATGGTCACACGGGAGGAGGAGCGAGCGAAGCGAGCGAAGGGGGCGGAGCCTCCCTGGGTTAGTGAGCGAAGCGAGCGAATGGGGCGGAGCCCCCCTGAATTGGTGAGCGGAGCGAGAAGGGGGCGGAGCCCCCTAGTGTATAAAAAAAATCAATTTCATTTTTTTTCGACCCCCCCCCTGGCCACACCATAAATACCTTAAGGGAAGACCGCGCGGAATTTGAAGTTGTGCACCCTTTTGAAAATTCCACGCCAATGTGTAAAAAAATGCGCATTTCTGACGTCACATCCATTATACCTTCACCACTGTATTTTTGATGGGAATGCCTCTTTCTGCTATTCTTTATTCAACGATCCAAATGTGTAACCTTTTATCACGGGCTTTAACCACAGAGGCTGCCCACCCTCCCGCATTTATATTAGCTCTCCCCAGTATGCAGTATGAACACCGTTCACTCAATGACATAATCATTACAAATTGAAAAATCGATATGTTCGCGGATCGAGATTTTTTATTCTCCTCGAATTAATTTTTCAATCTTTGAAACACAAATAAAATTCTCGATGTGATATGTCGAGTATTCTCCGTTCAATGACCGCACTGATAGGGTGATTCATTTATTCCAAACGAGATTCGTTAACTATTAATGAATGGTAGAGT